ACTTGATGTCTGACTTCATATGCATTCGCAGCTGAGACAGAATGCAGGATGAACTTCACCACAACGGGTAGGTCTTCCAGCTGGACAGCGGCGAGTGTGGCCATAACCGCCTCTCGGACCTGAGAAGAGAACAGTAACCGGTCAGGGTGCAGTGATGTGTATGGAGAAGATTAAAGCTGTACGGCACAGGTCAAATTTATTGATTCTGATATGGACTGATAGCACAGAATGACCTCAATTTGTTATTCAAAATGTCCTCTCATTTCAAAGACTGCATAATGCTAAAAACTTTAACGAGGTTCCCAAGCTCGAGGAAAGATAGGACAGAACATTACAGATCATCCATCATATTCCTCAGTGCACATGGCGAGATTTTCCAGTTGCTTATCTCTTGTTTTAAAGCAGACCCACCTGCAGACACTAAAATAGAAGTTTTAGTTGATTATAACCGAAGCAAGCAACTCCTGTTCAACCCCCAGTAGAGTTTAGCAAAGTCTACATACAACCATAATATATAGTTCCTAAAAGTTCTGGTTAATTCAAAGACTTTAAAAAATTTAATTGCATTAATTGTAACAAGTGTGTTTGTAAATATGTGCCAGCCAATCAGCCAGAGATCAGGATCAGAAATTTTCTCTTAACCAGCTCTGGTCTGTAAGTTGCACTTCAAATAATCAAAACTAAAAAAATCCCAAAAAAATTTTGGTTTATGGTCTATCATTGCATTAACCCACAAAGTACATTTTGAAGCACTTTTTTTTAGCTAAAAAAATAATAGAGGTTAAGAACATTCACTTATGGTGTATGTATAAGGATAATTTTACAGTCGGTTCATTTACTGTTGGACTCAAAAATGCTGACTTTTATTTTTCTTATAACCTGCAGCACATCTTTTCCTGCCACAGACCTTAGAAAATAAAACAATGAATTTAACAGGCAATTACTCAAAGAAAGATAAAGATCAGCCTCAGCTAGAAAAATCCTAAACAGTGCATCCTCTGCAAGAATGTATTTCAAATTTCTGTAGTGAATTTAAAACAACATTATCAGGCTCTGTACCTCCGTCAGTAATGAGGACGAGAGGTTTAGACTGGAGAGGGCATCCAGGATGGGAACCGTTAACTGAGTGTTCTCCTGAAGCAAAGAACTGAAAAGAAAAGAGATGAGAAAACCTCCAAACTGCAGGCTGACAGCAATAGTAACAAAACTCTAGTGTCAGACAGTCCGTACTTGAGCTCCCTGGCTATGTCATTGTGCTGAGAGTCTTCCAGTATCTCAGGTAAGCTGGTGATGATGTCACGCTGCACCTCAACTGGTGCTACTGACACCAACTCCATCAGCTTCGCAGCAAGTTCCTACAACATAGGAGAAATAAACACATTACCACCTCCATAAAATACACAATTGCAAACAGAACAATAAGTCAAATAAATGATAAATATATCACCTTTGTGTCCACGACTCTGTCCAGCCATTTCAGCTGGTTAATAATCATACGAGGAATATTGAGTCCTCCATCCACAGTGCTGTGATTCACAAAACAAATCCAAACAGGTGATGAAAGAACTGCGAGAAAGAGATGAAGGATTTTCAGATGAACATGTGAAGTACTGACCCATCGCACATAAATTCAGGGAGTTTCTCAAGTAAGGTGCTGATTATCAAAGTCTGCAAGAAAATGTGCAAGCCATTAGAAATTCAGGAAAACAAATCTTAGAGAAAGGAGTTTTATCTAACAGTGTGACATCCTCGTGAAACAAATATTGTTGTTTTTTTTAATATATTGTTATATATATATTTATTGTTATATATATTATGTATATATTGTTTTTATTTATTAATGTTGTTAAAGGCAAAACACAAATAAATAAAACCTGCAGCATTTCGATCCCCAATAACATTCTGATGAGGCTTTCCTGGAATGAGCTGACAGATCTGCAGCAAAGACAAAGACTTGGTTACACAATTCAAACAGAAGCAATTGGACCCCAGAAAGCTGCTGAGTGTACTGTTCACTTCCCAGAAAGTTAGCATATCCATTACCTCACGTCTCCTTCAGATGATTGTGGGATACATGGAAGAAGGCAGTTCCTGAACCTCTCCGGGTTCTCAATGTAAGCCTCCAAATCCGCTATAAACTCCTTCAGGATCTAAATCAATTACGAAGTGAGTGAATGTGAGCAGCAGTAGCAAATGAGGAAAAGTTATGTGCTGGTATTGTACTTACATCAGGATATCTGGGGCTTTTCTGCAGCTGCTGCTGTATTCGCTTCTGGAAAACCACCTGATCAACAGCTAAAAAACAGAACATTTAAGCAAACATTATACTTCATAAAGTTAATTCAAAAGTTTTTACACTAGTATGTATTTACCGATCTCATGCGACTCGCCATTATGTTTCAAGCTGACACCGGCTTTTCTTACAAAAGTGACAAAAACAGTTTCACTTGCTTCCTCTGAGGCAGCCTCTTTAGGCTGCCGACCACTGTTGCGACTCTTCTTTGCCTCTGTAGACAAAAAAAAAAAAAGTACACATTAAATAACACAGTTAACCAGACGACAAAATATGAAAACTACAGAAGATAAACAACTGCATGAAAAATATGTCAGTAACAAAATACCTTCTACTACCATTCAAAATAAATATGTGTATCTCGTTACACACATTTAACGAGATATGTGTTAAATATGAATATAATTTTTTTACAGTAGATCCTAGATGATAAAAAAAAAGTCTGCACAGCTTCTGGTTTTTGTCTCTAAGTGTTATTGGTTTGTCCATGTGTGCAGGCCATAAAACATACTTATCTATTTAGGAAAGAGATGTAAGGCAAACTGTACCTTCTCTGCTGAGAAATATACATGATTTACAGTATGGAAGTTGCTCCCACCCTTCCCACCAAATATAAAAAAAAAAAAAAAAAAAACAGTTCACTAATGACAAAATAAACAACAAAAAAGACACATTCCTTCACGATTTTAGACATCTGGCAGTTTCAAAATACTTCTGCGCAGTCTGTCAGTAATTCAGAGCATTTTCACAGTCCTTTAGAGTTTTCTCTAAAGGATTGAGAACCTAATTTTTTATCATTTAAATATCAATAAACATATTCTTATCAAACAATATGTCGTGCTGTACTTATTTACCATTTCCCCTGATGTGAGTGGTAGGAACCATAATATCTGGTCCACTCTAGTTTGTTATAGTTTTAGATAATTTAAAGATTTTAATTATTGCTATGATGATAGCAATTTAAGAGTAGGTGAGTGAATATTTTCATACCGGTATTTTCTCTTTTAGATCAACAGCATGGTTTCTGGTCTTTCCGATTTTGAACAGTAGTTAAGAGAAGCAGGAAGACAGGAAGGGAGAGTGACGAACTGAACAAAATACATACACAAAAAGCCTTTTGTAGGGTTTTTATAAGAATTGTTTGGGTATTTACAACTATTACACTTATGGGTTTTTTTTTAATCAAAAATATTTATTGAAGTGGAATGTCTTTCCCCATTACTGAATAAATGGACCTAAAGGTTGGATCGTCTCCAAATATTTCCATTGTGAGTTAATGCAGTTGCAAGAACAACACCTGATAATTCAGAGGTAAGATTGAGAAAGCTAGCATCTGATCACTGGGGATTTACGTGAAACTTACTTGTGGCGGCGGTTGTTCCCGCTACTTTTTCCACAGAGGAGTGTCGCTTTTTGCGCATCATCTGTTATGTTACAAAAGAAAAGAAGGATTAGGTGTTAAAAGCTGTTGAAGCATCTTCGGTAAATCACGACAGCTAAACACCGCGACTTACGTTCAACACTTCGGACTTTGTCCCAAATCACAATAGAAACTAAACGTTATAAGAAGTTTCTTGTTTTAGCAGACCCTGTAACTGAAACTAAAAATAATACTTTTCCACAAAACGACGTCAAGAGACAAGCAGCGCAACGATGTTGCAAAACAAACTCTCGCGCCAATGTACGGAGCACGTCACGACGTCAACCCTGGCTCCTCCTCCTCCTCGTGTACGTTTGCAAAAAAAAAAAAAAAAACGTGCTTCACGCTCCACGAAGAAGCGGCTTAGAAAATTAAGCTATGCAAAAACAGTTGGCCCTGTTTGCGTGAAAATGTTTACAGCAGCGGTTTCGCCGTTTGTAACCTTCCACCACTAGGAAAAAACTGTTTATGAGAAACAGTTTAGGTTTGGGCGGGCTTAGGACTCTTAATTCTCCGGATTTAACCGGTGTACGCCAGAGTAATAAACGTCCTCTAAACATGGAAGAGCTGAGCTGAGATCAGTACTTTTACTTCGGCCTTCCTGTCATTTCTTCGGCAAACTGTTTTTAAACCATTCCGACTCTCACAAACAACATGTAAGGGAAAAAAGAACAATAAATGTCAGAATAAATGCATTAGTTTGCCATTTTTATTTTGTGATACACATAGTTCTGTGTAAAGCATATTTTGCCCAGTGATCATGTAAAAGTGAGATAAATGCATTGCTGATGTTCTATAGGGTTAAAGGTAGTTTGAGCAGGGAATGACACGACACTGGCAACACAGGCTAACGTATTTTTCTCAAATGTCTTATTCGATGCATTAATATTCTAAACAAATATGTTGAAAAAGACATATTTTACAGAATAATGTCAGAAATTCGAGCAACTGTGACTGACATAACTCCATTTGCCTATATTCTGCAAGTGCAGCAGCCTTATTGGATATAAAACGCAGAATATGGCGACGTCTTTGTTGTTTGTCTGAGAATTACGGGGAAAAAATTAAAACTTGTACATAAGGGTACACGACGAACACACCTCAACATTTACCTAACCCAGCTTGTCCCCCATAAGTCAGGTTTCTTCTTCTTTCTAAACGAAAGAGTCTATCTTGTTGAAGGGGGGGTGAACTATCTTGAGTGCATAAACGAAACGTAAGCCTTCTGACGGTGCAGGCGGGTAACTCTCTCGACAAGGGAAAACAGACTCTTTGACGGTTTAAGAACCAGGTAGCGGGCGAAGGAGGCGCAGAAAACCACGCACTTGACTTACGCTTCGTCTTTGGAGGAAAACCCGAATAATGGCATCGACGTTTTACGGCCTGACGGCGAAACTGTTGACAGGAGAGCTATTTAAATTCTCCTCGCTTCAGGGAAAAGTCGTCCTCATTGAAAACGTCGCGTCTCTCTGAGGCACGACCGTCAGGGATTACACCCAGATGAACGAGCTCCACGAGAAGTTCTCCAGCAAGGGGCTCGTTATCCTGGGAGTGCCCTGCAACCAGTTCGGCCACCAGGTGAGGAAGTTCACCCCTGCTGTGCTGTTTACCACATGGGGGCTGGGAGGGTTTGTGCATTTAGTTTCTGAATTTTTAATGTCCCTAATTTGCAGTTCATCGTGAAAAAGCTTTTTGCCTCAAATTTGTAATTTAAATGGAAGAGATAATTTTATTAGTTTGGAGTTATGTGGTTAAAAATGGTCCTTTGCGTCTGTAGTTTCAATTTTCAGGGATTCATTTTTAGAAGAGGAAATTGTGGTTTAGTTAAAGTTCCACCCAACAACCAAATATTTATTATACTACTATTTTTTCTTCTTTGTGTTATGACTTTTAATAGATTAAACCACATAGTTCAACGCATTAAACTTGCAACAACTTAGAAGTGGTTCCTGGTAAGTTGCAAATGGTCTTAAAAAAATCACATAAAAGAGGAAGTTCGGTTCTCTTTGCTTAGTTCTTCCTGATCTAGATAAGGCAAGGCAACTTTATTTATATAGCAGCTTTCAGCCAAACACAATTCAAAGGGCTTGTACAAGAAAGTTAAAAACAACATACAACAAGAAGATAGTAATAATAAAAATAATAATAAATAATAAAAAATCAAGCAGATTGAAAATAGGCGAAGTAAACATAAAAATGTAAAATAAGATAAGAGGCAACATGAGTAAGACCGCCAGGTAATGTACGTGTTAATGATCATCCCGCAGGAGAACTGCAAGAATGAAGAAATCCTCCTGTCCCTGAAGCATGTCCGTCCAGGAAACGGCTTTGAGCCAAAGTTTCAGCTCCTGGAGAAGATAGACGTCAATGGGAAGGACACCCACCCCCTGTTTGCGTTCCTGAAAGAAAAGCTCCCACTCCCCAGTGACGATCCTTCATCCCTGATGAACGACCCCAAGCTGATCATCTGGAGCCCAGTGAGCCGGAACGACGTGGCCTGGAACTTTGAGAAGTTCCTCATTGGGCCAGACGGAGTGCCTTTTAAGCGCTACAGCAGAAGGTTCCTCACCAGCGACATCGAGGGAGACATCAAGAAGCTCCTCAGTCAGGCCACCTAACCGCCCTACAGTTCACCCTGGCCCAATTATCTTCTGCCATAAACCAAGTTCCGTCTTGTAACATCTGTGGGCCTTTTCTATTCCCTCCATAGTTTCTCTAGATGTTGGCATCACCTGTGCTCTCCTGTGTCTGATAGCTGTGTTGTTTGTTTTTACTACATGAAGGCGCCCTCTGAAACCAGGTGTAAGGGGGGTGTCGGATGAAATGTAAAAGATGCAATGTTTACAGCTTCATCGGCTGCATGTAAAGCACGGTTGTGGTGTGATATGAGAACCAATAAAAGTTTTTATCCAGACTTTGTCCTTTTAATTGTCCGCCAAACCTTAAGCTCTATGCCATCGAAGCATCAATAAGTTTCTATTATATTCCCTTTATTATTTCAATACTCTTTAGCAAGTAGATTAAGCCAAATTAAAAACATTTTGCAATATGACTATTTTGTACTTTGTGGTCTCTACTTGCAACCTCACACACTTACACACTGTAGCAGATCATAGTCCATTTTGCAGCCAGACAGTAGGAATGGTTAATAATTATGTTGCATCACCTGTAACTGCAGGTTGTGTTGCAACACAGATGTTTTGTGTTCAGCCTCACCCGTTTGCCCATAATCACAGTGGATATTAAAGTTCAGGGTGAGTCTTAGTGAAAATTGAAAGTTTCACCTCTTCAGGTCTTTGGGGTTATGTATCAAACCACATTTGCACATTCAGAGAAAACAGTCTTAAGCTCATTCAAATGACATGAAAAGCATTTTTATCTTTTGAGTCTTGCCACAGGTTCTCAGTTGGATTTTGTTCTGGACTTGTCCTGTGTGTCTCTGCAGTTACTACAGGGGCTTTCGCTGCACATGTGATTAATGCTCGCCTGGCCGGGACCGTCTGCTGAGGTGTGTGGCCACACCTTGGCAGCTTTGCAGACTTGACAATCTCCAACCTACTAGGTGAAATCTTCAAAGCTCACAGTACACAGTTAAGGAAAAAATCTGCAAAGGATTCTTCTTTTTCTTTTAGGGACGTTAAATTAAAAAGGGGACTGAATACATATGCACACAACACTTTTCAAATTTTATTTGAAAACCTTTTTCATTTTTACTTTGTCCAAAAGAAATTGCTGGTTTACGATATGAAATCGAACATACACAAAATTTTACTGTAATATATATAAAAAGTTACTAACATACCAACTTACCAAAACTCAATTTATAGCACTCCGCCACTGGTTTGCTTATGCATGTAATTATTCCAAACACAAAAAAAACTTGAGGCTTCCAGTCTTTATTGTTCTCAGGTTTCAAATATTCTAATTTAAAAACAACCTGGATAAATATGCAGACAAGAATTTATACACCTACTTAAAATGTTTCTTTTTTTTTTTTCCTTCTACATCTCTTGGGTTGTCAGAATCGTCTTCTCAACAAAGACGACGTTTACAGATGGAAAGCTTTTCTTAGTCGAAGGCGTAACTTATCCAGGCAGGCACTAATCGCTGAATGATGCAACCAAGTCAGAACCAACCAGCAGACAGACGCATGCTTTATGCAACAGGAATGCAGGACTTCTTTCAAAAACACTGTAAACACAATAAGTACTGAAGCACTGTTTACATGTTGCTCATGAGATAATCCATCCTTGTCGTTGTTGATCATGTTAAAAACATTTTATACTCTGCATTCTACTGGATCTTTTTGTGTCAAACACTAAGTGAGTTAGGCCCATTCCACAAAACTAGCCGAGTGAGCAGCGTTTTGGGGTCTAAATTGCCAAGTTTTGCATCACATGCACAGATTTTCAGAAGTTTAAGTTCCATGAATAAAACCACCACTTTTATACCAGTTTATTTCTTTCACTCGGTGTCCTTTGAAACATCAAAGAACAGGCATTTCAGTACAGAGCTGCATGAATGTATGTGTCTAATGATGAGCTATTACAAGGTAAGCTGGTCAGATCCAGCAGCACTCAAATGACCCACAAAAGGACTAATTGATTTAAGAAAGTGCACGGCGGACCATGAATCTTAACGCAACGGTTACGCCACATCTTTCTGACTAAACACACCAGAAGCAGGTAGATTATGTACTTGTGAAGATTTCAAAGTGCCTCCTTCTTGTCAGGTTTGCAGGAATAAAAAGGCCGCTTATTTCACTTCATTATAAAAAAGAAAACTTGTAGGAGGGTGGGAATCTTCTTGCAACGGGCCAAAGAGACAGCAAAGTTCAAGCTGTGCTTTATTAAAAAAAAACCCAAAACAAAAATAAAAACAAAAGCAAGGCTGACTAGCTTCCACTTGTCAAGTCCAATGTCAAACACCTTGATGCATCACAGAGCTGCAGCAGCTGGGCTGCAGCAGCAGTGGCTCTATGAATCCACAGCAAATATTTTCATTAAGGTGGCATGTATTATTCTGTGTGCACATCACCTTTTAAACTTGCATTTACATCAACACAGCGATAATTTCAACAATAAATGTAGGCACAAAGCCAGTACCCTGCTAACTTCTGCGTCGTCTCTTCATAAATACCTAGAATCACTTTGGTTGAAACAATATCAGCATTTGGCATTTACTCATTTAGTTTTTTTGTCATTTAAATATTTCTGAATGTTTTCGTGGGCGACAGAAAAATTTGCGGGCACTTCTAACATTCAGCTCATCCGGCGAGAGCTTCTGTATTAATCTGTGTTCCTCTGAAGTCCCAGTCTACTACGATCACCTGCTTCGGGGGAAGGAAGTCTCTTGGTTCACACTCTTGACACGGTCGCTTTGTTGAAGACGAAAAACAGACGAGACGGAAATCAAATAAACTCGAAGGAGGAAGGGTTAGCAAGTCTGTGGAGTCCTCTACCACTAAAGAAGCACTGTGTGCGCATATCCGAGTCTCTACTCGCCATGTGTGTTTTCAGTGTGTGTTTGTTAGTCGGGGCTCCTCAGTTTGTGTCCATGTTGTCGTCGCCCGACTCGGTGGCTCCTCCCAGCGAGGCCGGTGGGTCGGCTTTGGTGGGGCTGTCCTCGTCTCTGCGCTGATAGAAGAGCACGTAGGCTGCTTTAGTCTGCAACGAGACGACGGGGTTAGGGTTACACTACGACAACAAGGACACCAGACACTGCAGGCGGGGAGCCAGGGAGGCACAGGAGCCATTCTTATGGTAAATAAAGTAGTAATTAAACTCACCACAATCTGATCTTCGGAGGCAGACGAGACGCTGCTGTCGTCAAAGTAATACCACTTCCCATCCATTTTATTCTTGCCATAAGCCGTATCTGTGTCAGAGGACGGACAGTGTTGTCCAATCACTATTCAGGCCTTTTACTCAACCACAAAATATCTAATCAAAGCACTCAGAGGGATGCAGTAAAGATAAATTTACACTGACAGCTGTGCATAAAGATATTTCATGGTCTAGCATTGTAGTGCATCCAATGTGGATTTTGAATCACCTGCATCAGTATGTACTGAAATGTAGTACTCACAAAACTAATTATTTTTTAAAATTCGTATCCAGACCTACGTTAGGGGAAATAAGGTGACTTACAGTGACCGCCTCCCATTCCTCCATAGTGGTTTGAAACAGCAATGAGGTCGTAGACGTAAGGGCCCGCTTTTGGGTCACACACAAACTCCGACATGTTTAGATCCCTGACAAAAGAAAACGTGTGCTTCAATTTACGCTGAAAAAAAAGAAAAAAACTTTTGAAAATGGTTCCCAAACAGAAGTCAGCATGTGATATGTGGATGTATGATTACATAACCCTGCAGCAACTTCTCCATTTTACACACACACACTGCGACCAAAGACGAAAAAAAAAAAAAGTTATACGAAAGGAAAAGTCCTCTCTTATGCAAGTTGTACAGTAATAAAACAAACAGTTAATAAAGAACTGAGGTTTTATTGTTACTATCAAAGATGTCATGGACAAGAATCACTTCTGAATGGAATCAGCATTTCCTCATTCACACAACTGATTCATATTTGTGATTTCCTAATTGCAAAATCCTGTACTACTGGAGTTATAGTATGAGGATTCACAAACAGGAAACTTAAAACTTTTACATTTTGTTATGATTAACAATATTGATCTTACAGAAAGGAATGTGAAAGTTAAAATGCATAAAAACAGCATGACTGCAGTTCACATGAATTCATGTGACAGACTGACACAAAGCATTTCATTGTGAGGTGGAAGAAAATGATGCATACTTTTTAATATTTCTCAACTTCACAAACCTGAAAGGGATAATAATAGTTTTACACAAAAAAATGGAATGCCGATTTTTTTCTGTCACTTCACAATGATGCACTTTATTGTCTTGGTGTGTCACACAGACCTATAAAAAAAGTTCTTAGTTTTAATTTCACAAAATATTAAAAAGTTAAAAGGGATTTAAACACTTCCGGAAGGCACTGAAAGCCTGACTAATTGATCGTATAGAAAAATAGAAACTCTACCCTTCAATATAAAAAAAATAAGGCAAAACACAAGAGTATTTATGGTGATAGAACCTTAGACTGTGAGGGAAATCAGTGATCATGTCAAAGCTTCCAGTGTCTTGTGCTGGAAGCTTAAAGAATAAATAAAAAAGATACAGTACGTCAGGTCTTACTGCCTTGCAGTGTTGGAGAAATTCACTGATCAGCTGAACTATTTTAAATGATACATTTCATTTTATTTTGACCGTCAGTCATACCTGATGGGAAAGTCCACCAGTGTGTCGAGCTTGTCCCTCCAGCATCGGTTGTAGGAGAAACGCTTCAGGTGAACGACCAGAATGCGAGGCAGCGACCATAAGTCAAACTTTTTTGTTGCCTGTTGATGTTTTTTACATGTTGGACAATACCTACATTTAAAAAAAAAAAAAAAATTGGATTTAGATGATAGAATACCACAGTACAGGTCTGACTTTCAGTGCATTACCTATAAGAAAAGAAAAAAAAAAAAACATTACCAAGGGTCATGTTCTCCTAGAGTTTCCATTGTAGTAAAAAGCTCGATGCATTCCTTCAGAGCCACGGTTGTTTTCTTTTTCTGAGGCTGCAGCATGCTGTCGTGCTTCTCATAGGCCTGCAGCAAACATTTGAATACATGCGAATGAGTGTTTGCATGAGGCGCCGCAGAGTTTATCTAATGTGAAATCAGTATCCTTACCTCCGCTTCCTGCTCATCATAAAACAGTTTCTTTGATTCTGTGTCCCAGTCGATCGCCACAGTGGAATGTGCTGCAGACAGAACGTGGGACATGCTGAGCCGTTCTAAACTTAATCAACAACTTTTAGATGTAAAAATAGCGATGCTAACGGT